GCAGTACCCGCCGGGGGAAGCAGAGGAAGAGGAAGACCTCTACTCCGATGGAAGGACCAGGTGGAGAAGGACCTGGCTTCACTTGGAATATCTAATTGGCTCCACGTAGCGAAAAGAAAAAATGACTGGCGCGCTATTGTTAACTCGGCAATAATCGGGTAAGCGGTGTCTACGCCAATCAAGAAGAAGAAGAATAGTTAGTAAACTCAGAATTTGTCCGTTTCTGTTCAGCAAAGCACGTCCGTCAACAAACACAGGGAAGGTGCAACGTTGGGAAGCTACAATTACCGCCGACAACTAAACGACTTTCTCCTCGACTTGCGCTTCGGTTCTCCGAAAACACTTATCAGCAACACAGTATAAGGGAACATTGGGACGAAACAAGCAAGTGAAACAATTGATTTTCGGAAATAACAGCTTGGACGATGAGAACTTTCGTGGAGCAGTGGAGGGAAAGCGGACAGCCTACCTCGCTATGTTGCAGTCGGCCACAACGAGTGTAGAAGAGCGAAGAAAGACGCATACGAATACAAATAAAAGAGAGAGACCGAAATGCGTGAGTTTGTAGAGCTTGGGAAATTGCTCGAAAATTTTACGAAAAAATGCGGCGACTAACGGTATGTTTCGAAACCGGCGAGTACTCATACAGGACCCAAAGTGGTGATCTAGTGGTTGATGTTCTGGAATATTTCTGCAGCGCCCTGGACGGCAGTGAAGGTGGAAGAACAGGATATGTCGCATCCCAATCGATGACGATGAAAAAGATGTATCGTTGCCTGACCATGATGAGATTCGAATAGCAATTACCCGACTGAGGGATTACCGGCCAAGTTATTCAAGCCCTATAATCGACCAAACTTTCACAATGCGCCAAATCTAGGAAAAGACCCAAGAAAGGAAAATTGACACACAACGTCTTCATCGAATTTAAAGCCCCCTTCGACAGCACGAAAGGAATTGTCTCTATTCCGCCATTTCTGAACTAGGTATCCTCTCAAATCTCATGATGTTGTCTAAGCTGACGTTGAACAACACCAAAAGCTTAATTAGGAGCTGGTTTCAGACATGGAGACTGCCTATTGTGTGACTTCTGCAATTTTTTTCTGGCTAAAATAATACAAGCTGTAGAACAAAATAGAAAAGGTATAATCTTCTATAAGAGTATACAGCTGCTAACTACATGCATAATATTATAGTTTATTGCCGAGAATATGAAATTTCCGCCACTTTTCGTCAACGTAGCCCGTTTTTTTCCACGCCAGATTCTGCTGCGGGGTCTTCGAAGACCTTGACGAGCCTCCATCCGGCTGATTAAGGTTGCAGGCTCTGATTAGCGTGGTTTCGGAATAAACCTGTCCAGCCTTGGCTAAAGTGGCTTTATATAGCTATCATACTAATTTGGTTCAGGTTTTTTACAGGCGTCACGCTCTTTGTCTCCGGTCTTTTAGATGACACACTAGCCTTTTCAGCTGACCTTTTCACATAGCTACCATTGGTGGCGGTTCACAAGACTATATATACATATATGCACATAACACACACTCTCTGTAAGCTATTATATTCTTATCTATATATATTATATATAAGAATGCCGCTCCGCCGCGGGCGTAACCGTGCGACTGCGAGTAACAGTACTCAGTGTACAAAGAAATATAAACTAAGAAAAAGCGCGTTGAAGTCAAATACGAAATAGCACGCATAAAGTGTCTATTATCTTCTAAAGAAACACCACCAACATATCCAACTGCTCAAAAACTCGAAAATACTTTAGATTTTGAAAAATCTATCTTCTTCTTCTTGATTGGCGTAGACACCGCTTACGCGATTATAGCCGAGTTAACAACAGCTACGTGGCGCCAATTAGATATTCCAAGTGAAGCCAGGTCCTTCTCCACTTGGTCCTTCCAACGGAGTGGAGGTCTTCCTCTTCCTCTGCTTCCCCCA